ATAATAATGGGTTCAATATTTGCCACTTTAATGCTCGAAGTTTATCGACTGATAAACTTGAATATTTAAACTTTTTGTTACGGGAAATAAATATTGATGTGGTCTGTGTAACTGAGACATGGTTCAAACCTTGTATTGCTAACTCTGCTTATGCTCTTTGTGATTTTTCACTGTTAAGGAATGATAGGTCCACAGGTCATAGAGGGGGTGGCATTGCCATTTATTTCAAATCCAGTCTTAAATGTAAAGTCGTTCATAAATCGGTCTGCCCTGAAACAATTGAAAGTCTTTTTGTAGAGTTTAGTGATAATGTTCAAAGGTGTCTTGTAATATGTGTCTATAATCCCCATAGGTCTAATGAATTTACCACTATTTTTACAAAAATATCTGAACTGTCTTTGAGCTATGTAAATGTCCTCGTCTGTGGTGATTTTAATGTCGATCTTCTCCTGGATAATGTTAAATGTAGGCAATTACTAAAAAACTTTACCAATTGTGGATTAACTGTCGCAAACGAATTTGCAACACGTTTTGCTCCTCACTGCAAGCCAAGCATGTTAGATCTCTTTGGTGTAAGCGATGTTAGCAAAGTTAGCCACGTAGACCAATTTTCCTTAGATGGAGTCTCTGACCATGAACTAGTATTTTTATATTTTAATATTGAATTTAACAAAGAATTGTCAGTTACCAACCTGACGTTCAGAGATTTTAAGTGTATTGATGAAATAGCACTGAATGATGAAAGTATATCACTGGAATGGAACTCTTGCTGGTTCTTCTCGAATTTGGATGATAAATTAGATCAATTTAATAAACTGGTAAAATACTTGTATGATAAATATGTTCCTCTACGTACTATAAAAGTGAATAATTATAAGAGACCGTGGTTCACTAAGCACATTCTTAATCTTATTAAGGATCGAAGTAAGGCCTATAAATATTGGAAGCAATATCCTTCAGACGAGCGTTGGAATGCATATAAAAATTTGAGAAACAAAGTAGCTAAAGAAATACGTTACAGTAAAAGAGTCTATCTGGAAAATAAGCTTGATACAAAATTACCCTCCAGAACATTGTGGAAAAATTTGAAATCTATGGGAGTCTGTAATAAAGATTCAAAATCTTGCGGTCTTGGTGCGGATGAGATGAACCATTATTTCATTGGCGCCAATAATAAACTTACGAATTCGCACTCGTTCAGTTTTAATCAAAATTTGGTTTGCACACCCTCATGTGAATTTTCTTTTAATAAGGCCAGTGAGGACGATGTTGTAAAGAATATTTTTGCTATCAAGTCAAATGCTACTGGTATAGACGGTATCAGTCTACGTTTCCTTAAGCTGATTATCCCTTACATTCTCCCGACACTTACACATATCTTTAATTTTGCCTTAACATAATCCTCCTTTCCAAACCTTTGGAAGATTGCAAATATTATTCCTGTTCCCAAAGGCGAGTTTTGTGACTCTCCCGAAAACTATAGGCCTATTAGCATTTTACCTGTTTTAGCCAAAGTTTTTGAAAAATTTATTTCGTCCCAGATAGTTCTACATTTGAATAATCATAACTTGTTGAGTGAAGTCCAATCTGGTTTTCGGTCAAGTCACAGTTGTTCTACAGCGGTTTTGAAGGTAATGGAAGATATTCGTCCTGCTTATGATGACAAGCTACTCACTATCCTGTTGCTATTAGATTTTTCTAAAGCCTTTGATACCGTAAAGCATGACATTCTTCTTGCAAAATTTAAGTACTATTTTGGTTTCAACTCTACTTCGCCTAAGTTTATGGAAGCGTATTTATCAAACAGGTACCAACAAGTGCAATGTGGAGAAACAATTTCTTGTCGCAGGAAAATTAAATCCGGTGTACCGCAAGTAAATGATATTGTTGTAATGATGTAATTCTCTTCTGACTTGCAAAGATCTTATCAACCACTGTATCTCTAGAATATACTTTATTTTAAGAAACCTTTGGCATACATGTTATTGCCTACCAAATAATACAAAATTGAAGCTAGTTCAGTCACTTATCGTTCCCCATATCGCGTATTATGAAATAGTGTATGGAAATCTTGATTATGAATCGAAGAATAAATTAAAAGGAGCTTTAAATAATGCTGCCAGGTTTATATATTGTAAGAAAAAATTTGACCATATATCATTGTTCACTGTAAATATTCTCGGTTATAGCATCGAAAGTTCCTTAAATTATCGCAATATTTTATTCTTATTCAAACTGATCAGAAACCGCAAACCCTTATACCTGTACCGTAAATTAAAATTTGTTCAATCGTCTCGTACCTGTAATATTAACATTAATAGCCTCAAGATTATTTTTTGTTAGTGCTATCAGAATATGGAATTCACTACCAAATTCAATAAAATGCGTAAGTTCGATTCAATGCCTCAAAACAGAAGTTGCAAATCTAGTCAAAAATTAACTAGCCACTTCCCATCCTCTGTCTTTTCAAGTTTTCTGTCTGTCTTCTATCCCTTAGTGTTAGTTATAATATAGCAAGAATGATATGTAGTTCATATATATATTATTGTCTTAGCTTAAGTTTAATCTTGTAATTGAAATTTTTGTTATTAGTACGCTTAAAGACTTCGAGTTTTACTGTACTTACAAAGTAAATAAATGATTGATTGATATGATTGATTGAAATTTGTTTATAATCAAGCAGACAGTTACAATCTTGTGTTAAGCTGAGTATCCAGCTCTCAACAAAAGCCAAAACTCCATATAAAAAAACGGTGAAGAAATTCGAAAAAATTACTCTTGCCAAATTTCCTAAGAAATTTTCTACGCTTTCTACTACGCCTTTCTAAAGTTTCTTGTAAAAAAGGAGCACAAGGCAACCCATCTTTTCAGCAGAAATATATCCGCTCCATTATTTCGTGCAGAAAGGGTGAGACAGCAGGCTGTGAAATATCAGATATCAAAATTCTTTGGACACACACGAAATAATGGCAATTTTTTATTGACCGTTTTCTTAGGAGCTGGATTCTTAGCTTAAGTAGGAACATTGACCGTTGTTTAGATACATATTTGGGAAAAAATTAGTTTTTTTTCTTAAGAGATGTCGGCTCTAAATTTAAATGGTTGTAAATTAAGCAAAGCAAAAATACGCAAGCAAAAACAAGGATTTTTTTGCAAAATATACAAAACCATGCATTTACTGCAAAATATGCAAAAATATTATTGTGATTAAATACCCATTGTAACATACTATTGTGAACTAATTTAAGAACTTGAATTATCTGAATAAAATTATCTCCCTTAAGGTGCGTTTCATTAAGGACGTGACGTGTTTTCTTCGCACGCGCTTATAATATCTAATATTATTAAATAGGTTATGGGCCTTTGTCTAAAAGAAACAAAAATTAATCTAAAGTTTTATGTATAGAATCCTATAAACAACTTATCGTGTCAAAATATAAAGTGATTAATTTACAAAACGTCGATAAAATGGCAAGCAATGGTGGAGTAACGTTCCCATTCGAAAAGCTTCGTGGTCGCGAGAATTTCGACCCATGCTAAGTCCTCCCTCGTGTTGCGAAACTCCTGGAAGATAGTAGAACAGGGACTATCGGAGAAGCGTGAACAGAAATAATTGGACTCGGATGAACGTGCGATGACTGAAATCACCCTAATAGTGGAACCCAATAACTTTGCTCACAATGCGAAAGCTGGAAGTGCGAAAGAAGCTTGGAATGCAATCGTCGCGGCATATGAAGATAATGGACTCAAGCGAAAAGTCGAACTGCTCAAGCAATTAGTACAATTGAAGCTCCAGGACAGTGATAACATGCAGGACTATATAAACAATGTAGTCATGACGTCCTTAAAAGTACAAAGTGCAGGACTCAATATAGATGAAGAATTCGTAGCTTCACTAATGTTGGCAGGGCTTCCTGGGGAATCCCGTTCCCTAGTTATAGCGGTTGAAAATACAAACCCGAAGTTGATAGTAGACTCAGTTAAAAATTTACTACTACAAGATGAAAAATTTGTTAAAAGGAGTAGTGAAAGAGCGTTTAATTGTAAAAACTACAAAAAAGACAAGTTTACAGTGCTATTTGTGCAAAGAATTCGGCCACTATAGTAGAAATTGCCCAAATGGAACTAAAAAATACAACGCTTCTAAGAACAAGAGTACAAAAGCAATTCTCTTTGCTTCCCTCTTGACAAGTGGCGAAAAATCAGCAAACTGGTTCGTAGATTCAAGTGGGAGTGCGCATATGATTAACGAGGGGTAAATACTATTTAATAAGCAAAATATTAAAAATAAAAGCGTGACGGTAGCGAAAAACAAGAAAACTCCTCTTAAATGTTCAGGCGATGCAAAAATTATGTTAAGCACGGGTGTAGAAGCTACAGTGAAAGACGTAGAAGTACCGGATTTATGTGCCAACTTATTGTCGGTGCGACAAATTACAACAAATGGGATCAAAATGGTGTTTAAAAACGAAACATGTGAAATCTTCAATGAAAAAAATTATCTTATTGCAACGGCAAGTATAATTAATGACTTGTGTAAACTCAACACTGATAAAAAGCAGTGCAATGAAATTGCTATGACTGTAAGTGATTCCTTTAATCTCTAGCACCGTCGGCTAGGGCAATTTTGCAAGACAAACATCGAAGCGATTCAAAGATGTACAAACGGCGTGAAATTTCAAAGCAACGATTCGTCATGCGTTGTTTGTGTAAAGGGTAAGCAAGCCCGTATTTCATTTTCTAATATAGGTACTAGTGCACATTTCATTTATTTCGTTAAATACATTAGCGCATTAAGATTTAATCTTTTATTGCGCAATACAAAGAACAGATATGTACATGTAAATAATAGAATAAAAGTATACAGTAACAAAAATATATGTAATAACAAATATATAAATATAAATATATACATATGCAAGAATGAATAAACGTAATGGCTAGAGTACAAACAGAAATTGTATAACACGTAGAAAACTAAAGAGAAAATTTATAACCACCTGATAAAAAGCAGTGCAATGAAATTGCTATGACTGCAAGTGATTCCTTTAATCTCTGGCGCCGTCGGCTAGGGCCTTTTTGCAAGACAAACATGGAAGCGATTCAAAGCTGTATAAATGGCGTGAAATTTCAAAGCATCGATTAGTCATGCGTTGTTTGTGTAAAGGGCAAGCAAGCCCGTATTTCATTTTCTAATATAGGTACTAGTGCACAGAACCTTCTCGATCTTATCCATGCCGATGTCATGGGACCCATAAATGCAAAATCAATTTTCATTTCATTTATTTCGTTAAATACATTAGCGCATTAAGATTTAATCTTTTATTGCTCAATACAAAGAACAGATAAGTACATGTAAATAATAGAATAAAAGTATACAGTAACAAAAATATATGTAATAAGAAATATAGAAATATAAATACATATATAAATATGCAAGAATGAATAAACGTAATGGCTAGAGGACAAACAGAAATTGTATAAAACGTAGAAAACTAAAAAGAAAAAATTTATAACCACCTCATTATGCGACTTTGTGAAATATTCAAAGATAAGTTTTTTGAAATTGCTTTCACTAAGCGAATTTTTTAAGGACAATGGAAGGGAGTTCCAAAGTCTGACTCCATTAACAAAAAAAAGTCTTGAAGTGCTTAAATAATTAAACTTAGGCAATATAAAAATAAGGGCGCGTGTGCATTTGGAAAACTTAAGCTTATCATATAGATACCGGCTTTCTATAACCAAGCAATTTAAACATAAATAAACTATTACGAGCATTTATAAAGTTTCTTAAGTCGTAGTCAAGTATCGAGTTTCTCAATGTAGATACATGGTCAAATTTGTTCAAGCCCTATACATACCTAGTGGCATGGTTAAATGCAACATCGAGTTTGTGGAGGGAATGAGTGTCTAGATTGCTGTACACTATTTCGAAAGACGTAATTTGAGGAACAATAAGGCTTGAGACCAGCTTTTTTTGTGTCTGAGGGTACGAAAAGTGAGGATACTCTGAGGGGAGGTGTAATAATTTTTTCCTAAAACTTCATTGATGTGGTCCTCACAAGTCAGCTTGGAATTTATAGTAAAACCCAGGTTTCTCACTTTGTCACCCAAACGAAGCTTTATAAGATGAGGGATGTCAGAAAGTAGGATTTTATCTTTGAATATTGGTAATACATACGATTTCTGAGCATTTAGGTAGAGGAGGTTTTCAGCAGACCATTCAAGAATCGAGCACACGTCCTCATTAAGCTTACGAGTTATATCCTGAACCATGCTGATATGGTTAGAGATATATAATTGAACATCGTCAGCGTAAGCGTGTAGACGAACATGGGAGCATGAGTAGAAAGTATCATTTATAAAAATACTGAAGAGGAGGGGACCTAGAATGGAGCCCTGTGGTACTCCGCAACATGTTCCCACCAACCCTGATAATGTGTTGCCGACTTTAACTTTGTGCATTCTGTTACTTAAATAACTGCTAAGAAGTTTTACTGCATTTATATCAAATCCAAAATAGTCAGTTAATTTGCCACACAGAAGGTTGTGGTTGACAGTGTCAAACGCCTTGGAGAAATCAAGGAGGCATAAAAGTGTTAGGTGGCCTTGATCAAACTCTTTACGGATATCGTCCAGTACTTTGGTGATGGCAGTCGAGCAATAGTGACCAGCTCTAGGGACACGAATTTCCATACGATACGATACCATATCTATACTTTTGGCTTTCGATACCGATATTTTCCACTCGATAGTTTAAAACGATATTTTTTGGAATCGAGTACCAGGACCCTAGTATCGTATCGAATGTCCTAAACTCACATTATGCAGCGTTTTCGCTGCATTTAAAATGCAACATTTAGCACTTTCGAACATATGTTTTCGAAGAGCTTTGATGCTATCGCATTTAGCAAATGTACATTTACGCGAGTTCGAAATCGTATGCTTTTGACAAACAGCCGCTTTCCAGTCGCTTTTTCAGATCCGTAAAGGAAAAAATTAATTTTAAACCAAAAATGCAATACAAAAACTAGAACTGTTTGAACCACAACCGAACATTTGTTTGCGTATATCAAGGCGAATTAATATAAGGTGATAGCAGGAGTACAAAAACAAAAATTTACATGTATTTTGTTTTTGCTTTGGCGGCATAAACTGTCAAAATCTGTAAGAGTGTGTGTAGAAATTCAAACAAAATTTTTCAATTTGATATCAGAAGCCGTGTCACACAAAGCGGAGGGACCTACAGTTTTACGCCGACTCCGAACGGCGATTGTATTTTTATGAGAAGCTGTTTTTCATGGCAGAAATACACTCGGAGGTTTGCCATTGCCCGCCGACGGACGATCGCTGTTAAGAAAAAAACCTTTTGTCTATATTTTTTTGCGATGTTGCTTTGACCAGGGTTTGAACCCGGGTGCTGCGGAGTGGAAGCGCGCACTGCTTACCACCACACCACAGCGGCCGACGAGCATTTAGATTGTTAATGCAAAAATGGAGTTGCATTTAGTTGCATTTGGGTGACGAATTTTGTGTGGATAAATTTACA